CGGCTGGGCCAGGTGCAAAGGGAGGCTCTTTCCTTTGCAGCAGGAGAATGCGATTCAGACAATGGAGCTTCGGAACTATTTCTCCCTGTACTGCCTGCACCAGGAGACGCAGCTCATCCACGTCTACCTGCCCCTCACCTCCCACATCCTCGGGGCCTTCGTGAACTCCCAGATCCAAGGGCACAAGGAGGTGAGCCTGCCTGCCCTGACCCTGCTGTGCCAGTGCCTTTCCTCCAAGCGTGGCAGCCCTGGCAGCTGGCTGACCTGAGAAATTTTTCAGCAGAGTTGGGGTACGCATGGGGGCTTAAAGCATAGCTCTTGCTCAGGGTCTCTACGTAGCCAGAATCGTAATTATGAAGTTGTCCTGGTGATTCTTGGGGGTGAGGTCGTGGCGGGGTGGAGAGCCACTGCACAGGGATGGTTTCCTGCCTTCCGAGGAGCCCAAGAAGTCAGAGGTATGGCTCGGAGGTCCCGAGCCCTGGGGCTGAGCAAGAGGTGGCAGGAATCAGGTTTGAGCCATTACCGCAGGTTGGATGTTCTGAAAACCCCTGGTCAGTGTCCTCCAGATGGTGGTTCCTCAGGCCTTTGAGGTGACACGGCCTGAGTTGTCCTGAGCAGGTTTCTGCCCTGCATAGTCTGGGGTCACACGACTGCGGCCTGCATCCATCTCCAAACAGCCTGGAAGGCTCGTGTGTCTGGCCAGGCTGAAGAAACACCGAGAAAATGGCCAGTGTCTGGTTCTTTTCCTGGCCTCTGTGTGGTCCCCACAGCCTCCTGCCTGCCTATCTTTGTCCTTCCTTTTTCCCGTGGCCCTCGGGGCCTGTGGTGAGCACTGGGGCCACGATCACCCCCTGCCCGGGGCTGTGTCTGCCTGTGGCCCCTGGTTCCTGGATGCAGTGGGAGGAGCTCAGGCCAGAATGAGTGAACCCTTATCTCAGATTCCAGCTCCACGACTACAGTGACCTCTGCGTGGCTTGGTTACCCCATTTGAAAAATGACAAAAAGTGCAAGCCTGCCAGCTTTCCAAGATGGGCCTGGGCAGTCAGCAGGGGCTGGACTGATGCAACGATCACTTCTTGGTAGCCACCTGGGCCCAGGTCCTTGATTGGTGCTGGCACCAGGTGGTTTACATCTGTCCCTGTCACCGAGGAACACACACGAGAGAGCTGGGCTGGTCCGAGGAGGCATGTCTTGTGCTCTGATAGGGCTTGCACAGAGCCCAGGGGCCGCAGTGGGTCCATCCAGGGAACTGGCTGTTCTGTGTGCAGGACCAGGACCACTTGTAAGCAGCGGGTAACACGATCTCAGACCTGCAGTGCACAAAGGTCGTTGGCAACGGTGTGGGGTGGGTTAGGGATGGACGATGGAGGGTGGCAGAGCTGCAACTGGCCAGGTCAGTGGCCATCTGGACCCTGCTCTAGAACCAGGTCATGCCAGAACCACCTGTTTGTTCGAGATGCAGATTCTGGGGCGCAGAGCCTGCCCCAGACCTATGAAGTCGGAATCTTCTGGGGTGGGGACTTGGGCATCTGTGTTGGCAGTGGGAGGGCCTCTGTGGCTCGGAGGGGAGCCTGGGTCGCCACCCTGCTGACCTGTGTCCTTCTCTCCCTTAGATGAGCAAAGTATGGAATGACCTGAAGCCCAAGCTGAGCTGCCTCTTTGCGGGACCACACAGTGCGCTGACCCCACCACGGTCCCCACCAGAGGATGGCGTGTGTCCTCACTAGTGTTGGAGGCCTGCGACGAGAGCTCCCTGCGGCCTCACTAAAGCCTCTTTCCAAATGCTGTGTCCCTGTTTCATTCCCCACCCTGTGGTGCCCCCTGGTTGGGGCCAGGCCAGTGGACCATTTTGCACCCATCCCGCGACATCCATGGAAACAGCGGACCACTGGGGGGCTGCCACACCGCCTTGTCCTCCGACGGCCCTGCCGTCTGCCAGAGTCTAGCCCGGGCCGGTTGGCGCAGGTGCTGGGATTCTCTGGAGCGGTTTTCTCCTCCTGCCCTGCGGGGAGAGGGGCAAGGATCGTGTCTCACAGCAGATAATGCCTGGGGGAGCGTGAGGGGGGGGTCCAGTTTCTAGAACAGTCTGAGGCACTGCTCTTGGGGGCTGGGTCAGCGAGCAAGGGAGAGGGAGGGCAGGACTGCTCTGTGGCTGGATGTGGTGGCTGACCACTGCCATGGGGTCAGAGTGCTCCGGATGCCTGCAGATACTCCCAGGTGGTGTCGCTGTGCCGTGCGCGTGCAGTAGCTGGACAGAGATGAGGCAGCTGCCTGCTGCTGAAGAAGGTTGCTGGATGCAAACAGTGTTAGTTTCTAGGATGTGTCGCTCCAGTGAATACCTCGAGCCCTGGTCTGGGACTGACCTTTGGGGTTGAGTATCCTCATGCTACTCGATGCATACAAGTGACCCTGTGTGCGCCCCATAGTCTGAGGTGTGGAGGACAAAGGCAGGACTGCAGTTCCTCCTGTCTGAGTGCTGGAAACTGCTCTTTGCGTTGTGTGGATTTCTCTCGCTTTTTGGCGGCCAGTGTCCCCACACCGTGTGGCACTGAGGCTGGAAGGGTGGGCAGAGGAATGCGTTCTCTTTCAGCTGGGGCTTTAGAGCGGGGATCTGTGTTGCTGGAGTTGACCTCCTTTTAAATGATTTCCTTCCTTTGGGTGACTAGAGCCTCCTCCCAGCTTCCCTCCGTGCACTTGCCGGCCCAGCCGCCCACTCATGGAGGGAACCAGCCATCCTTTGGGACATTCCCCTTCTTGGGACGAAGAAAGCCATTCTCCTGAGCTCTGTGGGATGAGAATGCCTTGTAGGCTTGGACGTGTTACTCCCCGAATGCCATCTGTAGCAAGCATGTGTGGCCTTCCTCCAAGGGCTGGGAGCCAGACCGGCCTTCCTGGCGCCCCACTGGTGTCACTGGCCAGGTAGAGATGCTGGAAGAGGCGCTAACAGACTGCAGGGTTTCCAAGGTCCTCCCATCCAGGGATACTTTCCTCTCATTCTGTTGCAGGACTCCTCCTTTTGGCAGGGTGCGGGCCCTAGGGCAGGAGCGGGGCTCACTCTGTGTGCTGCACAGACAGGTGACCCTTTGCGATAAGCCATTTCACATCCATGGGCCAGAGGGAACGTTAGGGCCTTTTCGTCCAGCATGTCGGGCCCTTTGGGAGGACAAGGTGCTGTGGGACTTGGGTCTATCCCTGCTGCGGGGCCAGCTGCTCCCTCCTGGCCAGACCAGAGGGCAGAGTTCCCATAGGGCGGAAGTTTGGAGATTGACTAGCCCGGATCTGAGCAGCAGGGCTGCCTTTGCTTTTCGCATTCTCTGTAGAAACTTCTCAGGCACTTGAGTCAGCTTGTGCTCCTCATGGGACTGCTGCCTCCTGACGCTGCGATGCTTGGGCCTTAAAGCATGACCCTCTTTGGGCAGAAGGCTGGAAGGCGTCCTCTGTCCTGTCTTGCTCGGGCCTGTCCGGCTATGGGACTGTGGGGGTCATGGGGAGAGAGCTGTGGGCATTGGCGCTGGAGTCTCGGGAAGGCAAGGCCATGAAAGAGAGTCCTAGCACCGAGATTTCCCAACGAACCTTACTGAGAAGAACTTTACTCCCTGGTGAGTGAGTGTGGGTTAGGAGATCACTTTCCTGGTGACCTCTCCTTGTAGTGGAAACTCTTCAGGAATAAGGTCCTTGTGTTGTGTTTTGGAGGCTAAGGATGAGGGCATAGTTGAGAAGGGCAGGGTGAGGAGCGGGAAGAGGGCAGGGGCGGGAGGGGCTAGGGAGGAGGGGTGAGCAGGAGGGTGAGGAACGGGGGGGGTGAAGAGGGTAGGGGTAAGGGTGAGGGTGAGGAGGGCAGGGGTGAGAGGAGGGGTAAGGGAAGGGAGGAGGGTAGGGGAGAGAGTAAAGAGGGCAGGGATAGGAGGAGGGAGATGAAGGTAGTGGTGAGGGGGAGGAGGACAGGTGGGGGGGTGAGAGGGAGGAAAATGAGGGTAGGGGTGAGGGTGAGGAAGGCAGGGGTGGGGAGGAGCCTGGCTTCTGTAGAGGTAGGCACCCTTCCCACAGTCTTGCCTCTCCCACCCCAGGTGCTTCCTAAAGGTCAGCAGGATGAGACCTGCTGGACAGGACAGGTGGCCTGGGGACAGCAGAGCCCACCTCCCTTTTCTGTCCCTTGGCCGTGGGCTGCCTGCACAGGGAAGTAGGAGTTGCCCACGTGCCTTGCCTGGCCTGGTGAGAGAACTAACTACAAGGCGTGACCCTGCTGGGAGATGCTGCCTGCTATTGATCCTGTCGGGTCCGGTCACGGAAGGCCTGTGTGGTGTGAGGAGTGGTGGCTTTGTAGATGGGCAAAGGTGGTCATTTCCATCAGACCCTCCTGGCCTGTGCCCAGCACATGCAGGAGAACTGTGCAGACAGACCCCTGGCGTTGGGCCACAGAGGCAGCGCAGGAGTCAGGAACGCTCTCTGTATTTGAGGCCTTTTCTCTTGCTTTGCGCGAGGTAGTTTATGTATGAAGCACTTTATGAGGCTGCAGGAATCAGTTACTACTACACGCAATAAACTGGAATTGTTTACAAGTGGTCTACGTGCTGGAATTTTTAATCAAACTTACAGGAACGTTCTTACTCAATGTGTATGAACGTCTGGTCAGGCGGTAAGTTGTGTAGCAGGTGGTTCAACTTGGGGCAGGCGAGGGGACCAGCCTATGATGCATTAGACTTGGTATTAACCCGAAGCCCTTGACTATGCCTCAGTTTCACCCACTGCAAAAAGATGACTCACACAAGGGGCTGATGGTGAGAAGGTGTCTTCTAGCCCGGGGTGTTGAGCACGCACACGTGGCCTTCCTTTGTCAGCTGTCACTGCACGGATTGTCAGGGACACTGTCCTCCCCTGTATCCCTGCACCTCCTCTCCCACCCTCTCCCGCGGCATGGGTCGGCCCAGCACGCCTGGCAGCTTCCTGCGGACAGGACCGGGCTGGCTGTGCTGGTGCCTGGCGAATGGTTTAGAGGCAGAAGACCTTTATTTTCCTTTCCGTCAAGTCACATTCCAAACCCAGAGGGAATCGGCCCAGCTGCGTTGGCAGGTGCGGCTGTGTAACAGGCGGGGCCGGCCCTGACCTCCCGTTAGACGGCGTCCACCTCGCGCAGGGTGTAGTCCAGGATGGTGTCCTGACCCTGGAACTTGAAGTACCCATGGAATTTCTTCTTCTGAAGCAGGAGTGGAAACCAGTAGCTGTCGTCAGGCCACATGTCCCTGAAGGGGATCTGGTCCAGTGGGAACCACTGAGGGCGCATTTCTATACCAAGGGGCGAAAAGGAAGAGCATTGGTGTTCAGCCCACATTTACACTAACCCGGCATTCTTCCGCATCTCACCCTCATGACTGCGGGCTGATGTGCAGTGACCTGGCTGTGCGCTGGAGGGAGGCAGGGCTGTGGGGCTGACCTGGCGTTTAGACCTGGTGTGGGCTGGCGGCCTTTCTCCCAGGTGGGCAATGAGACCCAGGCTTTCCTCCCTGCCTGCAGGGGTGGGGAGCAGGGAGCAGCTCCAGACTCACCGTCGCTCTCCACGGGGGTTCCCTCCACCCTGTCTGTGCAGAAGACGTGCATGTCCATCAGCTCAGGCTCGCCCTCGAACTCAAACACGACCCGGCCCACCTTGTGCAGCTTGTCCACCGCCAGGCCACTCTCCTCCCACAGCTCCCTGTGGGCAGATGCGGAGGGAGGAAGCAGGTTGGCAGCAAGGCACCCGTGCCCACAGGCAACTCTCAGAATGGTGAGGGGAGGAAGATGGAGCATGTGTGCGGTGGCCCAGGGAGCGCCACAATGGACTCGTGGGCTGGGAGCCCAGGGAAATGTCACTTAGAGTGCCTTAGTAGGTCCCAACTGACTGAGCTGTGGAATTAACTTGAACCTTTAAGAAACTGATTTTGTTACAGGGGCTTTGGGGAGGGGCCACAAGTTTGGGGTGCCAGGCCCAGCTGAACACCCTCTAGGTACCAGGTGACAACCGTGGCCTCAAGACAAGTGGGTGGAAGGGCTGGGACTGATGCCCCTTCCTCAGACTCTGTTTCTCCTGCTCTTCCTACAGCAGAGCCTCACAGCAGCCACCTGATTGAGGCTCCAGGAGCCCGGACGCTGCCCTCGCGCCCCCCTCCCCCGAAATGTCTCTCCAGCCTCATCATGCCCTTGCTCTGAGAACACAGGGTCGAATCACGGCCCTCTGTGGCCTCTTTCCTGCAGGAGGAGCTCTCGTTTTAACTTTGGTTCTGCCAGGGAGCCAGTACCCTGCACAGGTGAAACATACAGGACAAACACTTTGGCCTCTCTGGCTGTGGACCCCTTGTCGGGATGCTTTCCTTGGCACAGCCAGCTGTGCGTGGAGGGGGCCGTAAGGGACTAATCTCACCAGGGAGCACCCAAGTGCTGCTATGGCTTGGAACAAGTCTTTTTTTTTTTTTTTTTTTTTTTTGAGACAGAGTCTCACTCTGTTGCCCTGGCTAGAGTGAGTGCCGTGGCGTCAGCCTAGCTCACAGCAACCTCAAACTCCTGGGCTCAAGTGATCCTACTGCCCCAGCCTCCTAAGTAGCTGGGACTACAGGCATGCGCCACCATGCCCGGCTAATTTTTTTTTTTTCTATGTATTTTTAGTTGTCCGATTAATTTCTTTCTAATTTTAGTAGAGGCGGGGTCTCGCTCTTGCTCAGGCTGGTCTCGAACTCCTGAGCTCAAACAATCCGCCCGCCTCGGCCTCCCAGAGAGCTAGGATTACAGGCGTGAGCCTCTGCGCCCGGCCAGGAACAAGTCTTCTGACTCACCATACACAGCCAGAATTGCCCCCCTTAAATAGTCTAAAGCTGTTGCTAATTTACTTAAAAAATTACCTATTTGTTGTAGACAATCCAGGAAATAAAACACACATGAACTCATCACTGAGAACCCTTGGTGCCATTTCAGTGTTTTTCCTTGGCTGGGGCAAGGTACATCCCTTTACAAAATGTAAGCATAGTTTATACCTTGTGCTCTTCTCAAGAGAGGGGTGCATGACATTCCACACCTCAAGGAATGCAACCCGTTTCTCAATAGTTGTGTATTGTGGAAAAATAAAATATCCCAGCTTGTGGCTATCATGGAAGCCTGTTACAAGCAGCTTCCCATCCTGAGCAAACTGCTTCTCGTGCTTGGTTTCTTGTTCAGCCTCTCAGCAGACACTTCCCGGAAGACCCTGCTCGGGACCCTGGGGACCCATGGCCACTGCAGCCCTGAAGCGCAGCCTGTTCCTCCCTCAGAGACGTTTCTCACTTCCCCACTGCCCTGTATTTACTAGTTTCTGTAAAAACATTATGTCTGGCTGTTTATTGTTGTATATAAAAAAATTTTTTTAGCTTTGATCTCCCAAGTTACCTTAGGGACACTTGCCTGTAATTAGCGTAACTGCTTTGTTCATTTAAGAAACACACGTTGGGTTAAACAGACTTGGGCTCTCCAGGCTGGAGAGGAAACACAGACCTAGAATTGGCATTTGCTCATGGAGATGGTTAACACTGGACTTGACCTAACAAGATGCATGTGTGTTGTCACCTGGGGGGTGCAAACGGCCCCCCCAACTGAATGTAGCAGAAGCTCTCAGAGGGGCTCACCGGCCTCTTTGGCAGCAGGCTGGTGCTTATCTTAAAAACTTCACCTACTGATAGAATGTTTTGACTAATTTTAGTTAATTTTCTGAGTACACGGATGCGTATGAAATATCAATAGTCTCCTCGGTGGCAGAGCTAAAGCTCTGTTTCACAGGCTGGGATAATTAGGCAGACGAAGACGACACTGCCATAGTCTTGCTGAAGTGTCTCTGGAGTATCTCTGTGGTGCTCAGTTTCCCAGACAGCAGGCGGATGAGTAATAAATTAAAAACACAGCAGCCAGCACCTCCGTGGTGTGGAGAGGTGGTGGGCGTGGGAAGCCCCGTGGCAGTCCTGCTCCTGGTCCTTGCTGCTCTTTGCAGGTCAGGGATGCTGGCTAGGAAGAGCAGCTTGCGCCATACACCTGACACCATGGGCCCCACAAATCCTGGTCCAAGTGTCTGCCTGGGGGGAGTGGGAGTAAGTCCCCACTCACACCTATCCTGCAGGTGAGTGGGGAGGGCCTGCTCTGGGTCCCCCCAGATAGAACAGGGCAGCGTGGTGGACAAAGCCTGTGCCAGACTCCAGGGCCCTCTCCTGAGCACCTGGGGTTGGGGCTGCCAAGGCTGTTTGGGCCCTGGAACCCCTAAGTGTCAGCCTGATTTCAGCGTTTCCCGTTCCTCATGTGTGCAGACGGTCCCTGACGTAGGATCTTTTGACTTGATGATGGTGTGAAATCACGATGGGTTCAGTAGAAACTACTTCTAGTACCCAGGCAACTATTGTTTTTCCCTTTCAGCACAGCGTTTGACAGATTACATAAGATACTCAGCACTTTATTATAAATAGGCTTTGTGCTAGATCATTTTGCCCAACTGTAGGCTAAGGTAAGTGTTCTTTCTGAGCACGTTTAAGGTTGGCTAGGCTAAGCTAGGATGTTCAGTAGGCTAACTGTGTTACTATAAATGCCTTTCTGACTCATGATATTTTTAACTTTTGATGGGTTTAGCAGGATGTAGCCCACTGTAAGTTGAGGAGCATCTGTACTGAATGTTAGGTTATTAAGTGTGAAATGTCCGATTTCCTTAAGTACTAAGTTTGACAGTTGATACCTCTGACACTTCACTTTGACACTTCTTCTTTTTTCCCTATTGTGAAGGTACATCCTCGGTCTTTCTTTTTTTTTTTTTTTTTCTGAGACAGAGTCTCACTGTGTTGCCTGGGCTAGAGTGAGTGTCGTGGCGTCATCTTAGCTCACAGCAACCTCAAACTCCTGGGCTGAAGTGATCCTCCTGCCTCAGCCTCCCGAGTAGCTGGGACTACAGGCATGCACCACCATGCCCGGCTAATTTTTTCTATATATTTTTAGTTGTCCAATTAATTTCTTTCTATTTTTAGTAGAGACGGGGTCTCGCTCTTCCTCAGGCTGGTCTCGAACTCCTGAGCTCAAACAATCTGTCCGCCTTGGCCTCCCAGAGAGCTAGGATTACAGGCATGAGCCACCGCGCCCGGCCCATCCTCGGTCTTTCAAACGCACACTTTGGCTTGTGATTATCTTTCAAAATTTTTAAGAGCAATTTTTGTGAAACCATGGATAAGTCAAAACTTTGTGTTATCTTTGAATATGAGTTCCATCATGGAACCAATGCAGTGCAGACAGCTTGAAATATCAACAAAGCGTTTGGGAACGATGTGGCTAATGAACGCACAGTACATCAATGGTTTGAGAAATTCTTTTCTGGCAATTTTAATCTTGAAAATGAGCCACGTGGGCATCCTGAGACCAAGGTGGATAATGATGAGCTGAAAGCTGTAGTGGAAGCAAACCCATCTCAACCTATGTGTGAATTAGCAGCAAGGTTTGATGTTAGTGTTCCAACAATATTGGACTATTTGAAACAAACGGGCAAGGTAAAGAAGCTGGATGGATGGGTTCTGCATGAATTAAATGAGCGTCAGAACAGAAGTCATCTCGAAGCTTGCCTTTCTTTGCTGTCACGACAGGAAAGGGAACCATTTCTACACAGTATTGTTACGTGTGATGAAAAATGGATTGGGCATAATGGTTGGATAAAGATGAAGTGCTAAAACACAGTCCAAAATACAATATTCATCAAAAAAAACTAATGGTGTCTGCTTGGTGGTCTAGCCGCTGGTATTATCCACTACAGCTTCATGAAACCTGTTCAGTTGATGACAGCAGATGTCTACTGCAACCAAGTGGATGAAATAATGAGGAGGCTCACAATTAAGCAGCCGAGACTGGTCAACAGAGACAGGCCAAAGCTCTTGCAAGACAACGCTGCTCAAACTACAGCAGGTGGACTTGGAAACTCTCTGTCATCCACTGTATTCACCAGACCTTGTGCCAACTGACTATCACTTCTTCCAGGCTTTGGACCATTTCTTGCAAGGAAAAATATTAAATCTCAACCAGCTGTAGAAAATGCCTTTGGTGATTTCATCGCCACTTGCTCTCCAGGCTTCTTTGCATAAACAAGCTACCGTTAAGATGGCAACTCTGTTAGTACTTTAGGCGTATACTTAGATTAATTATACTACTTCTTGTTTGAGATATAATAAACTATACTTTTGATTTGAAATCAGACATTTTATATTTAATGACCTAATATTTGGGGGACTGCAGCGCTCTGCCACCCAGCATTCCTCTCACCCCACACAGGGGCAGGGCACAGAGCTTTGTCAGAGGGCGCCCCTGCCCTTGACTGCATCCTACTTCCTATGCGCCCTACACCCTGGGCTGGTGCCCCAGGGCAGAGAGGCCCAGCCTGACGGGCACCCAGAGAGCACCTTTTCAGAGCTGGCCAGAGGCCCTTGGGAGCTGCTGCAGCAGTACAGCACATGGCCCTGGTGCTGAACTTTGACCTCAGTCCTAGGGCAAAGCCTGTCCCTTCTTTGAGAAGTCTGTGAGGTTAGGAAACCGCTCACATATCCAGGCCGTGGGGAGCAGCTGTCTCTCCAGGGAAGAGCGGGCCCTTGCGGATGCTCAGGTATCAGAAAGGTATCAGCAGAGAGCTGGGGCAGCTCCCACCCCACCCAAGCCATGGGGAAGTGATCTAATTGAGTCAATAAGCGCGCACAACAAAAAGGCCATCGACGTTACAACCATTCTGTCATCTGCAGTGAGGAGGAGGCCCACCCATCTAGGGCCCACTGAGGGCCTTCCCTGTGCAGGTACCAGAGGAACAGTGGAAAAGGAGGCAGATGTGGTTTCATGTCTCATAAATCATTGAGCCACAGCAGGGGAGAGTGCAGCACAGGGCAAACATGGTCTTTTGATAAATGATGCTGTGCCAGCTAGATATCTTTATGGAAAAGCCCAATCTGACCCCCACACCCACACCAGACACAACAACTCAATTCCTGACGGACTGTAGATCTAACATTTTAACAAGTTTTAGAAGAAAACTTAGGAGAATATTTTCTCATGCTTGGGATAGGCAGGTTTCTTCTTCAAAAGGATCTACAAAATGCTAACCATAAAGAAACAATATATATGGGATTACATTAAAATGATAAACTTCTATTTATCAAAATATTAAGAGTAAAAAGGCAAGCCACAGAGTAGAAGATATTTGCAATACACGTATCTGATGACTCACATCTCAAGTGTATAAAGAACTACAAATCAGTAAAAAGGCAACCCAGTAAAAAAATGGGCACAAGACTCCAGCAGACACTTCATGAAAAAGGACATCCAAGTGGTCTGCAGACATTGGGAAGGTGCTCAATTTCATTAGTCATTAGGCCAGACAAAACCACAATCGCCACACTCCCCAGAATGGCTACAATGGAAAAGACAGAAAATACCAACTGTTGTTGAGGATTTGGAGGAACCAGAACTCATTCATCCTGGTGGGAGTTTAAATTAGATTCTGGAAAACTGGCAATATTCACTAAAGCTGAACAGGTACAGTCTTCCTCCTAGGTAACTGCCCACCAGGGAAGGGTACACACGGGCACCAAACGACACACAGGACTGTTCATAGCAGTGCCCCATGCAATAGCTCCAAAGTGGAAACCCCCCAGATGCCCTTCCACAGATTGGAGAAACCGCACGTTCAAATGCTGGAATACCGTAAGACAACGTGAAGGAATGAACTTTGGCTACGTGCAAATGTAATGTTGGAAAGAAGCCAGACAAAAGGGCACGTTGTGTGTGATCCCATCTATGTGATGTTTTAGAACAGGCCAAAATCAACTGTGCTAGAAGTCAGGGAGGAGGGCAGGGCCCACGGTCCGTTTCTATTTCTTGATCTACATGTTGGCTAAATAGGTGGACCCACTTCTAAAAAATCCACTGACGGAGATTTGTGCAATCTGCTCTCTGCCCATTACCCTTCGATAAAAACTTATGTCACCGAGTGGGGAAGGGAATAATTAAATGTGACCAGGAAGGGTGAGAGTGCTGTGAAGGAAATAACGGGATGAGATTTATCGAGAACAGTGGGGCTGGCTGGGGGAAGGCACCTTTTAGATGTGAAGGCTGAGGAGCCGCAGCCAGGGAAGAGCCAAGAGCAGGGTGGGTAACAGCTTGGGGTGTCTGAGGGGAGACAGGATTGGGGGGTATATTTTGAGGGTGCTGGGAGCTGTTAAAGGGTTTTAATGTGCTGGTGTGAGTCTGTGCTGTGTGGAGCTGACCTGCAGAGGCAAAGTGAGGGAATGGGCTGCTGTCCCCATCCAGCTGAGGGGTGGTCTGCCTGGGTGCAGGTTACACCTGTGGCTAGAATTACTGCTTCCTACACTGTACTCAGCCTCCTCCCCCATCTCAAATCCAGGCCTGAGGGGAAACCACCATCTATATTCAGTACTGAGGGTCTGGAGTGATGCCCTGTGTTTATGTCTCATTTAAGAAATGAGTAACATATAGAGTGCAGGAGGAAAAGTTTCCTAGACTCTGAGAAAATCTGTACGAAAATAAATCAAGGCTGCAAGTTTGCTTGTCACCAGCAAGGTAAGAGCTGAAATTCAGCCACCTGGAGCACCTCCCATCCAGTTTCCTCAGCCCCCGGCCCTTCCCCACACTCCCTGCATGGCCCGAGCCCCTTCAGCCCTTCCTGCGTCTGTGAATGCCCGTTCCCTCCTTGTCTCTGCCTCTTGTTGGGTCCTTAGGGAGTTTTCCTTGTGCCCAGTTATTATTCACCCTCCCTCTTTGTCCTGGACGCCCTGACCTCTGGGCATGGACCAGACCCCCTTTCTGCACAATCTTCTGAACCCAGCAGCCAGATGAGATGTGCCCCTGCAGGGGCTGTGATCTGTTCCTCTGTGTCGCTGAGCTCAACGTGGGGCAGTGCTGCATTAACCTGATGGGCAGTCTCAGAGGATCAAAGACAGTCAAATGGTTGGCCAAGCAGGCCTCTGGGGCCGGCCTGCTCCCATGCTGCTGCTTCTGCACATACCCTGGCATAGGCACGAGCTGGCTGTCTCTGCCCAGTTGCAGCCTCCCAGCACAGCGCTAGTTGCACTGGCACTGCCACAATGACTGAATGTGTCCACTTGGCAGCAGCCCTGGGTCCCAGGCCTTGAAATGGGGCACATTCGAGGGACATCATGTGCAGAGCTCTTCAAATAGAGGGCTATGACCCAGTTGTGCTCTGTGAAATCAACTTAGTGGACTACAACCAGCAATTAAAAAAAGTAGGAGGTATTAGAGTTTCATGTAGTATGGGCATCATTATATGCCACTTATTTCAGCCGTACGTGTATAACCGAGTGTGTATGCTCTATGAGCGGATAAGATATCTTTCTTACTGAGGGTTGTAATGAAAAAAACTTGAAAGCCACTGGGCTGCAACATCCCAGCTTCCTCTTCTCCAGGCCCCTCTTTACCATGTATTTGGGGTTTTGGTCTCTCCAGGGAAAGTAGCCTTAAGGTTGCCAACCTTTTTCAGAGCAAGGATAACATTAACAGGAGCTAACGTTTGTGCAGTGCTTTGTTGTGTTTACACAGAGATCTCATTTATCTGCACAAACTGGAGGAGCAGGAGGGCAGAGAGGCTGATGTCTGGAGGACTGTGAGGCCTTGGGCAAGTTCTTGACCTCTCTGGCCTCAGTTCCTTCCCATGTGAAGCCGGTTGTGTTGAGGATTAGGTGAAACTGTGTGCAAAAGGCTTTAGAAGAAAACGATCATTAGCTCCTCTGAACAAACGCAGAACCCAAGTGATTGATGAGCCCTTGAGCTGTGTGCAGTGAGGGAGCAGAATCGTTCAACTCAAGCCATAATGCACGGCAGCTTCCCAGATCCATCCTAAAACCCATCACCACCACCATACAGCAACAGCTAACACACACTCAGCACTCACCCCAGGTCAGGTGCTGTTCTAAGTCCTTTATGTGCAATTTTCTCATTTAATCTTCACAACAATCCTAAGAGGTACTGTGCTTATTTGCATTTTGAGATGAAGAAACAGGCTTGTGGGTTAAGTACACACTCCAGTTACACAGCTCACAGCCTGAGTCCTTACGCCCTGCAGGAAACTGAGTCTGTGGTCCCACCTGCCCCTTCCTCACCTCTTGGCCCCATCCTCAATGGTTTCTCCTTCGAGTACTTTGCCCCCGAAGCCATTCCACCGGCCAGCCCCGAAGCCTCGTTTCTTCATGCCCAAGAGAACTCGCTGGGGCTGCAGCACCAGCACCAAGGTATACAGCCTGGAAGCGCCCATGGTCCCCTAGGTTCTGAGAGAAAGGCAAGAGGGCAGGGTCAGCCTCATCTTGGGTGTGGATGGGGTGTGGATGAAATGTGTCCTGCGTGGCCAGTGGCCAGGGATTGCACTCCAGCAAGGGGGCTGGTAGTAACTTCCCAGCTTTGCCACAAGTGGCTGCTTGTGGCAGGTGGAAATCTGCCACTGAACAAATGATTTTCTGGAGGGACAAGCCTGGCCCTCAGAACCCACTGGCATCAGTGCTAGGCCCTTCGCTTGCCAGGGTGGACCCACAGTTGGGAGGACAGCTCCCTCTCCCTCTCCACACCCAGCTACAGAGGGCGACACAGCCTTTCCATGGAGGGCTCTTCTTGCTCCCACACCTACCCCCAGGAACTCCAAGCCCATATGCACAAGCAGTAGGGCAGACCAGCCCCTGTCTCCAGCTGGCACCAAAATAATCATGCATTTATCCAATGGTTGACAGGTCAGGTTTTGGTGTTGGCCTTTTCATTAACAGGTGCTTCTTTTGGCCCATTGGGATTTGGCCTCTGTCTCTGCAGCAGCAGGCTTCCAGACTCCCAGGAAGTGCATGGCTCTGGGCAGGGGCTGCTCTGGGCAGCCTCCACCCATCGAGGCTGGGCTGGTCCTCCCTCCCGTGTAGGAGCTCATGCTTCACTTACTCTGCTCTTACTGCTGCTGTGGGACCTGGCACTCAGGGTGTACACTGGAGCCACAGGGGCCCTTCCTGCTCCAACAGATGTACAGGTCCTAAGAAAGGCTCTGAATGGGATGCCTTGGCCAGGGTCCCTGCTGGAGGACCAGGACCAAGTTTTCTGTTGCTCTGTCCCTATCTCCACCTGCGGACCACACCTGGCGAAGATGTAGGGTTCAGGGCCAGGGAATCCTTGGAAGTTACAGTGTCTGAGAAAAGGGACCCAAGGCTGGGTCCTGGTACTGGCAGCAGGTCAGACAGGGTAAGCAGGTGTGTGGCTGAGCTTCCCATGAGGTTTGTGTACTTTGTCCTGACACTGATCTGTTCGTTCCAGAAGCCCTGGCCTCCTGGGTAAAGCTTGGTGATGATGATACCAGCTATCATTTATTAAGCACTGACTATATATTTCTTTTAAAAAAGTATCCTAATTAATAGATCCAACAACTGTATGAGTTAAGACTTGTTTTCTCTATTTCCAGAGGGGTAAACTGAAGCTCAGTGAGGCTATCTGACCCAACGCCTAACAGCAGAGCCAGTAATAAAACCTGGGTCTCCTGGACGCCAGAGTCTAGTTGTGCCCACAGCTCCAGGAGCAGCGGCTACATGGGGCGCTCTGGTCCTCAGAGAGCTGCCTAAATTTAGGGCCTGGGGCGTTTGTTAGCCACGTGGCCTCAATCCGGTCTGTAAACTGAGGCCCTTTACCAGGTTGAGTGAGAGAGCATACGAGGAGCAAGGGCTCGGTCCTGCACACAGTGAACGCGCAGCAAATGCCTGGTACTGCAGCCCACACCTGGTCCCCACTCCCGCTCTCCCACCCGCGCTCACCAGGCCCACGGCGGCCCCTCCCCGGCCCCCCAAACTCGGCTGCCCCAGTCCCCATTTCCCCTCTCCCTGCTCCCCAGCTCGGCGCGCTTCCAGCTCCTGGCCGCCCGCCCCCAGTTTCCCCGCTCAGCGTACCCCGTTTCCGTGCGCCAGGCTGCAGGTCCCGCTCTCGATCCGAATCTGCGTCCCGCTTCCGGGGGCGCGGCCTGTGGCCGGAAGGGGGGCCGGTCACTTCCGGCGGCGCGGACGGAGGTGCGGTGGGAGTCCATGGCAGGGTGAGCGGGGCGATGAGCTCAGCCAGTGCTTGGGGGGCGCCTGTGCATGCGGTGAGGGGATTGGGGAGGTTCCTCCTTCGCCCAGCTTCCTCCTCCAGAAAGGGGGCGGTGGTCCCACCTCGGTCCTGGTGTTCGGGACGCGAGGCCGAGCGCTGGGCACAGGGGGGCGGCGAGAGCGATGCCCGCAGCCCCGGCCCGGCACTCGGAGGCGCACCTCGAACCACTGCGCACGGCCAGCGAAGGCCCCCAGCACGCAGGGCGCCACAAGGTCTCTAGAGAGGCGGGTGAGTGGGGGAGGTGGCTGCTGGTAGGGGCTTTTAGAGAGAGGCAGGTAGGTGGGGGAGGGGGCCGCAGGTAGGGGACTGCAGGCCTGAAGGATGTAGCACAGGGCTTCTGAGAAGCAAGAGGCTGATGTGGCTGGAATCCATGGTGTAGGATGGGGCTGGAGTGGTCAGTGGCCAAAGGCGGTGGACTCTGTGATATGTGGGGAAAATGTTCATTTTTTTGGCTTGTGTAACTACACTATCCCAAACTGCTGGAATTAGTTCTGGTACCCGGGAGCCAGTCTTTTCCCCACGAGATCCCTTACACCATTTGAAGACAGCGATTCAGGACTCACTAGTCACTGTCTTCAAATCTTGTCAACACTTTGGTGTTGAAGGAGCTTTGACTTTGGAGCTATGGGGGTAATAACTTTTTTTCTTCAGGAAAATGGGCATAGAACTTTGTAAGCTTGTTCTGACAGTTCAGTGAGGGGAGGTACACAGAGCTCCTGCCTGCCCAGCTATTGTTGGTGGTCAATAAAGTGTTAAAATCGTAACTTGTCAAAAGAATCGTGGAAATTGTCCTTCAACCATTCACACAGGTTGAGTTCAATTTTATTTAGAAATGTGCAGGGCCAGGCCCTGTGCTAACTGCTGAGGCCATGAAGGGTAACTCAGGCAGGGATCTATCCTCCTGGAAGAAACCTTCAGGGGAGGAAAAAACACTTCTTGACTCAAGAGTACCGATGTCTGCTGCCATGAGGAAGTACAGCAGAGTGGGTGGCTTGACCAGCAGAAATTCTGTTCTGGAGGCTGGAAGTCAGATTGAGTGTGGGCAGGGTTGGTTTCTCCTGAAGCCTGTCTCCCTGGCTCACAGATGGTGTCTTACTCTCCTCTTATAAGGATACCTGTCCTATTGGATTAGGGCCCACCCACATGACCTGGTTTTAACTTGATTACCTCTTTAAAGACCCTATTTCCAGCTAGTCACATTCTGAACTTCCGGGAGTTAAGCTTTCAACACATGAATTTTGGGGGTGAGGGGGGGTTTTTTCTGGCTCTGTAGCCTTGTCAGGTCACCTCCCCTCCTGGGCCTCAGAGCCCCATCTCTAAAAATGGGTGGGAACCAAGGGCCCCTCTGTGCTCATGACCCTCCGATCCGTGTGATGCCAACCTACTTGCTCCCTTTTCCTCTCACCAGGTACTTGAAGCTGGTGTGTGCTTCCTTTCAGCGTCAAAGGTTCCACTCTGCTGTGAGTCACTGCAAGAGTCGGACGGGTGCTGAGCACCTGTGGCTGATGCGGCATTTAAGGGACCCATTTGTGAAGGCTGCCAAGGTAGAGAGTTACCGGTGTCGAAGCGCCTTCAAGCTCCTGGAGGTGAATGAGAAGCACCAGATTCTGCGGCCTGGCCATCGGGTGTTAGACTGTGGGGCCGCTCCCGGGGCGTGGAGTCAGGTGGCGGTGCAGAAAGTCAATGCTGCAGGCACGGGTGGGCCTCCATGCTTTTTCTTATTGAGCTCAATATTTATTGACTGAATGAATTTGTGTTGGAATGTCAGTTCCTTTTCTCACCACTGAGACCTCCTAATAACTGATTTTAGTGGTTTCTATTCTAATTGCTCTTCAGGACAAGTCTGTGACTATACCCTTATCAAGCTGTTTATCAACAGACCCAAGGCCTTCCTCAGTGTAGGGGACTGATGGAGAGATGGTGCACTAGGCTTGTGAATGGGGGGCTTCAAATGTGGGGATTGTGGGAAGAGGGAGAGGTGGGGCTGAGAGCAGTCAGAGGCAGGACGTTTTTAGATAAGCTGAAACAGTAGCATCTTTTAAATTTTATAACTAGTTTTACTCAAATGTGGACAAGGTATCAATTTTTATACCTCATTTTGTATCTATTTTCCCCATCTTTTGGCTTGCTTCCAGTAGTTTCTACATTGAGATGAATTGGATTAAGCTGGAGAGTAGATTTATTGATTTAATCTAGAGGCACTTTATATACTAGCGTATAATTATCTATTTTAGCTTGTCAAAAAGACCACTGAGAGATAAGAACCCTTGCACAGACAGTGAGCCGCGGGTAGTGTAATGATCTCAGAGTTGGAGATCTGCCTATCACTCAGGATGACTCTGGGACAGTCACCTCCTGTCTGGGCCTCAGTTTCCTCAGGTGTAGAGTGAGGACTGCCACTCCTGCACCATGTAATTTTGTAGGATTTATAGATAGTGGGAAAAGGCCTATATGTGTACCTATTTTCACATTAACTGTTTTCCTTGGTCCTAATTAATGTTTTATTTTTGTTTCATTATTTTGTTGCACGTATTATATTTTTGTGGAAAGATTCAGGGTGTAAATAAGTTACACATTCCCTGTTTTTTTCTTAGATCCCGGCTCTCCTGTTGGCTTTGTGCTTGGGGTAGATCTTCTTCACATATTCCCCCTGGAAGGAGCAACTTTTCTGTGCCCTGCTGATGTGACTGACCCAAGAACCCTCCAGAGAGTCCTAGAGCTGCTTCCTGGTGGGAGGGCAGATGTGATTCTGAGTGACATGGCACCCAATGCCACAGGAATCCGGGACCTCGATCATGACAGGCTCATCAGCCTGTGCCTGTCCCTTCTGGACATGGCTCCAGACATCCTGCATCCAGGGGGGACATTCCTTTGTAAAATCTGGGCTGGAAGTCAAAGTCGTTGGTTACAGAAGAGACTGACAGAGGAATTCCAGAACACAAGGATTGTAAAACCTGAAGCCAGCAGGAAGGAATCATCAGAGGTGTACTTTTTGGCCACACAGTACCGCAGATGGGAGGGCTCTGTGAAGCACTGAGAATGTCTGTACCATTTGCACAATGGTCATTAGGTTCTTTTTAATTACATATGTGGCCTGAGCGCTTTCCTAGAGAGTGGCCAGGGGATCTGAGCTGAGATTTGGGAGATGCAGTAGCATGAGTGGGGAGCCTCTTTTTTTTTTTAAACCAAAAAGAGATGACAAAACTAAATTGAAGGACCGCAAAAAAATGGTAAAACCACCACCACCAACAACAAAAAACTTTTCTATATCATCATTTGTGAAGCGGAAGTTATCAGAGCAAAGAGATAGGTGAAGGATGAAGAGAGACAGACTGAGGGGAGGATGAAAAGGAAGTTGCCGTGGCAGGGAAGGAAGTACCCACTTATGTCTTTACATGACTTCCTCTTCTTACAGACGATGAGGCTGTCACAGAGTAGCAGGCTTTCCACCCTGTCTCTAAGACCACAATGCACAGGTTTTTATTTGTTTTTTTGGCTGTATAGTATAAAGTAGAAAAATCTGAAGTTCCCATCTGGGGATTAATTTCTGCCTCTCTGGCGAATAATCTGGAAATTCATCCATTCTTCAGCAAGAGTTCCCAGAGCAATTAGGGAAGACATGGTATGAATTTATGCATGGGGTGGGTGTGCTTTGGTTTTTGCTGGAAATATGTATTGTTGTAATACTTAAGGCTTTCAAGACCATAAAGGTAATTAACAAAGCGAGCAGTGATATGTGTTCATTCATTTTCTTTCACATTTCCAGGAACTCGATGCAGCTTTATAAAAGAAAACAGATTGCATTATTTTGAAGGATTTCCGTGCTTATAAGTTTTATTTTTGAAAAAAATCAACTGGTTTCTTCAAAGCCATTTCCTGGAAGTGTACTTAACCCTTGTGTTGATTGACTGTAACTATGATTAAATTCCAAGGACCAGTGGGGGAAAGACTAGATATCTGGGAATCTCCATCAGGGTCCTGGGGCTTAGTCCAGCTCCCTGAAGTAAGCTGCAGGCCAGATATTTTTACTTTTCATTTTATTTTTGGTTGCAGTCATGTAGTTAAGTCCAGACAACCTCCTGCCCTACCTCCACCACTTTCTTCTCCCCTCCCATTTCATTCCTGGCCATACAAACTTCGGAGTCTTGTCTTCTGGAAGAAGGAAAATTTGGTGCAGAGCCTTGGGACGGGCACCATGTTAGAGGAAAGCCAGGGGCTGGGCAGTGGAGGGAGGAGGCGAGGATGAGAATTTGGAAATGAGTAAGGCACAGGGGAAGGCTATTCGATGCTGCGCCCTGGAGACAGGGCATTCAGGCACGGGACCCCGCTTGAGGGCGTGCAGAGCACTGGGAAGGTAGCCTAGCAACGTAAATACTTTGTATTTCCAGCAGGCCCAGAGAAAAGCAGAAGAACCCAAGGACTCAAGGAAATACCGTAGTAAAATTTTAGGAAGTCGAGTGAAAAAAAGTTTGTTCCGAAGGGGCCACCGTTGGGCGCTACTATTCCACACATTACGGTGCGGGGCAATAATGTGGGAGAGCTCCTGCCGGAGGCGGGGGTCCCCAACCGTGCCGCGTCCAGCTTTTGGTTCCGAGTCCTCTCCGCGTGGGGTCTCCCTGGCGTGGGCGGCTCTGGGTACGGACCTGGAGTTCCCAGGGCCCGCCGCGGCGCGCAGAGTCGGTTCTTTACGACCTGAATCCCACTGGGTCTCGCGAGAGAGCAGGCGCACGTCTCGCGATAAGCGGGCACGGGCGGAGCGAAGGGAGATCCGAGCAGCGGCGGCAAGCGGGCTGCGGCCGGCTGAGGTGAGCAGCCAGGGGAGCGCTGGCGGCCGGGGGCCCGGGGTACCGCGGGCCGGGGCGTCGCGGCGGCGAGGGGCTGGGCCGAGTCTGCAAGCCGAAGTCTGGCACGGCACCGCCCCTTCCCACAGTCTCCTCACCTCGCGACCCCGCGCCCCGGTTTGCGCTCGCCTGGGCCGGGCCCTGCCCGGTCTTCTCGCCCCGGACACCCCGCGCCCCGGAGACCCCGTGCCCCAGTGACCCCCTCGCCCCGGAGACCCCGCGCCCTCCGTCTCCCTCGGGCAGAGTCTCTACTCCTTCCTCCCTGGCCCGGGATCGGCCCCCTCCCCGCTTTCCGGAGCGTCCCGTGGGGGGCCACTGGTGGGGGGGGTGACCGGGTGGAGCGGCCCCGGCTGGAGGGGGTCCCGGCTAGAGGAGGCCCCAGGTGAACGGGACGGCCTGCAGCCGTGCGGAGGTGGCCGTGGCCCCAAGGGGCGGGGCGGCCGCGGACTTCTGGTCCCGTCAGCACCGCATCCCTCCACAGGGTCTATGCGTGGTGGTCGTGGACGGGGTCCTGCTCGCAGCTTGTAGAACGCGAGGTTGCCCTTCGCGTCTGGTGGGAGTTTGGAGAAAGCAGGAAAGTTGCACGTGCCAGCTTTCCAGGCCGTTTGGCCGGGGTGACAGGCCAGGATGGCGTGAAGGGGTGTTGCAGGACGGGGTCACCTCGGTAGTTTCTTGAGTTTTCCGGGGACCCGGGGCAGTGGAGCGGCGGTGCGCTCGTGACTCCAGCGCAGGGATCCTGTTGCCCGCAGTCGGGGTTCGATGGCTGGGTTGCAGGAAGGTTTGAGGCTCCTGGGTAAAGAGGATGGATTTGAGCTGGTGTCTTATTGCACGTTTCCAGGTGGTAGGGAACGTAGGTGTTCTTTTCATACTAGTGTATTACCTGCGTCGACTCTGATGGGATGGTACCTCCAGAAGAGTATGTGTTGGCTAAATTTTCCGTCATGGGTTGGAAAGTGTGGCTCTGGGCTGATCTTGGCAAAGGAAGGACTTGGGCACGTAGAGCCTGCGTTGCTGTGAGAGCCCCTTCTGACGGCTCTTCCAGACAACCGCTAGAGCAGACAAGGGCTCTGCACCAGGCTGAGCTTCTTGTTAAGGGAGAAATACAGAGACAGCAAAGATTCTTCACTTTCTCTTTTTTGGGGGGAGGGTGTTTTCAAACTAATAGGGGAAATCAGTGAGAGACTCCTCCTAGAGGGAGCAACAGTGTGCAGCCTGTAGGAGTTCACACCTTTTTTGCCTGGGACCAGTGCAGGTTTTGGGAATGCAAAGTTCTATGCTGCTGCCTGGCTTCAGCCGTTTCATGGGTTGGCTTGCTGAGCACATGGTACCTTTAGAGCCAGGCGGATCTAAGTTCCAATCTCAGTTCTGTAGTTTTTTGAAGCCTTAGTTTCAACATCTCTCAAATCTGTATAAAAAGACCTAATTCAGCACCCTATTGTGCATTGAGCTGTTGCGTATAAACTTACAGAGTGTTAGTCAAACTATGTAGCGACATTCGCACCATCTACCTGAAGACCACTTGAAGGTATTGACTGTAGTCCTCACAATAATTCCACAAAGCAGGTCTCACAGCCCTCAGTGTACGAGTGGGGAACCTGAGGCTCTGAAAATCTAGTTGTTAGATAACTTTCTTTTTGGTACTTTGTTGAAAATAGCAGTAATACTTACTAATGTCATTGTCAATATATAACGATAAAAAGCATTGCTGTGGCCATCATCATCTTTATTGCCACTGTTACATGCCTTATTTCTGATTCTCAGAGGCCAGGCTTCTTTGTGAGTGCTTGTGATGGTTAATGTTAGGTGTCAACTTGACTGGATTAAGGAATACCTGGAAACCTGGTGAAGCATTATTTTTGGGGTGTCTATGAGGGTGTTTGCAGAGGACATCAGCTTGTGAGTCTTGAGTGGACCAGGTGGGGAAGACCCAGTGTCAGTGTGGGCAGCACCGTGCAATCTGCTAGGGGCCTGGAGAGAACAAAAACACAAGCAGTGTGTCTGTCTGCCTGCTGGAGCTGGGATACACTCTTCCTTTCCTGTCCTTGGACAGCAGAACTCTGGGCTCGCTGGCTGGCAGCCCCTCGGACTGAGAGTTACACCAGCAGCTTCCCTGGTTCTGAGGGCTTCGCACCTGGTCTGAGCCAAGCTGCTGGCATCCCGGGGTCCCCAGCTTGCAGACAGTCTGTTTTGGGACTTCTCAACCTCCAGAATTGTGTGAGTCAGTTCCCCTAATAAATCCCCTCTCATGTATCTGTGTCTATTGGTGCTGTCTCTCTGGAGATCTCTAATGCAGTGTGTATGTGGGAGATGTGCCCTCTGACTGCTGAGTGCCTTCTTCTGGGAGCCGTTTGTCTTCCTGTGTGCAGGTCAGACTCAGTCAGTGGCTCGGTGGCTGAGGTTTGGTGGCATGTTTTCATGCCTCCATTTCTTCTCAGGAAAATTGGCACTATGGGCTCCCACTTAATGCTGAAAAACGTGGTCACAGACACTGGAATATTTTAAGGGCTCTGAGAACACATTAGGAGAATGGGATTGTCCAGGGACACTCCTGAGTGAGCAGCTGATGTCAACATAGAAAGACTGGCTGTGACCCCTCCTTTGTCTCCCTCAGAAGGAAAGTGACCATGGAAGACATGGGGGAAAACACCACTGTCTTGTCTACCCTGAGGTCTTTGAACAACTTCATTTCTCAGCGAGTGGAGGGAGGATCTGGACTGGATATTTCCACCTCTGCCCCAGGTTCTCTGCAGATGCAGTACCAACAGAACATGCAGGTGAGTGGCACGTGTTGGGCTTGAGTCTCTGGGTAGACATCTGGACTCAGGTAGGGCCAGTTCAAGTCCCATATAGTTGAGGCAGGTTAGTATTAGGTCAGCCTAGAGTTGAGCTGGTTGTCTTAAGGATCTCACTGTGGGGCCGTCCTCATTTTGGGGCAGTAGCTGGAGGCCCTGGACTGGCCTGGCTTAAAGGCCTATTTTGTTAGCACCCCAGGAGTTGGTCTGGTACTCAGTATTGCAGTCACATTAATGAACTTGCAGACACTAATGATAGATTCAGAAAGCCACACCCAAACTGCCTAGGAGCAGGAGCATGTCCAGCTGGCATGATGTCCCCTTGAAGGGATAACATCAGAAGGCTGTGTTGTAAACCCAGGTGCCTAGAGAGTCCACAGAGTGAGCCAGGACTGTGAGCAGGGGCAATGGATATTTCACAGTCTCAGACTGTGGAGGGCCATTCGCAGATCTTGGGGTGAATTTTACAGTTTTACTTTCACTCTAGTCATATTTCACGTCATTCCAAGTTCTTGGGAATGCTCACTGTAGACACAATTGCACAGAGGTCAGGTTTCCTGAAGGACTTCAGGCTCCAAAGAGTTGTGGGCTCAGTCCCAGTTAGGGCCAGGATAACTGGGACCCCCCCCAAGGAGGGAAATAGTATCTCTAGCCTTGCTGAGGCTCTGTCACTGCACCAGTGGCTGCACTGGGCTGGCAGGCCCCTCTGTGGCCTCCTTCGCTGTCTACACTGGGTTTGCCCTGGAGCCCTTCTGCTGTCAGAGCTCTGATGAAGTGTGCACCATTTGGTAAAACAATAAAGTGTATGTATTCATTTGTTGAATAATGAATGCATACTCAGAATAACGTTACTATGTGTGTGTTAGAGCACTAAGTTGCTCACTGCCCTACTTGGCGAGGACTATTTTTTTTTTACTCTGAGATTAGGTCTTGGTTGTTATATTCTGAGATTAGTGCTGGTGGTAATAGATGGTAGTTATTTTTGCTCATTGGCGAAATAAGAAGTCGGCAACCCTGGACTTAAAAATACTATAATTTTATTTTATTTTTTTATTTTTAAAAGACAGGGGCTGGAGTACAGTGGCCCAGTCATAGGTCACCATGACTTTGAATTCTTGGGCTCAGGTGATCCTTCTGCTTTAGCCTCTTGAGTAGCTGGGACCACAGGTGCATGCCATGACACCCAGCTAATTTTTCTATTTTTCGTAGAGACAGGGTCTCTCGCCCAGGCTGGTCTCGAACTCCTGGCCTCAAGTGATCCTCCCAACTCAGCCTCCCAAAGTGCTGGGATACAGGTGTGAGCCACGGAGCCTGGCCATAAAAATGCTGTAATTTTATTGATGCAAATGTCTGGGACCTTTTGGCCTATCTGTCAAAACCATAGGATTCTAGATTCTAGATTGGACCTCGGAGGTCCTCAGTGCTCACTCTTAAGGGCTTCCCAGTTGGGAACTGGTAATCAAGTGCTGTAGCCAAAGTGAGTTGGTCAGTAGAGTCAGGACCGCAAGACCTGCCTCGGCCCCTGGCCATGGTTGTGTCCTGTTCCGGGGCTGTGTCATTCTTTCTCTTACTACTGAGCCCCCCATGGTGGTTGGTGAGGAACTGGAGGAAAAGGCAGGTCTGGAGAGTCTTGGGGCAGCTGTCAGATGTCCTGTGGCCCAGGCCTACCCCACTTTCAGTGGTGCCTGTTTTAGTTGGAAATGTTTAGTGTCTGCTCTGTCACACATTGGTGTTTATTTCAGTATAATAAGCTTGAAGCTACTATATTTGAGATGTAGGCAGTGCTGCAGGCACGTGAGGCACCTGGATCAGGTGTCTGGACTGCTGGTCTTGGTGCGGTGGTGCCCCCTGCAGGCAGGGTCTCGGCCCTCCTCTGGAGAAGCTCAGGAAGGCTAGAGGGTTTGAAGGGCAGACTTAGGATTCCCCAATATCAACAGTTTGGAATTGAAGTGAGGGAAAATACAATGGGAATAAAGAAAGTGTGGACTTGGGCCACCAAAAAATATAGGTGGGAGAGCGGAGAAGATGCCCTTGCTCTAGCCCTGGTTTCTTAGCTGTGGCACTGTTGACATTTGGGCTGGATAATTTCAGGATTTTCCTTTGCATTGTAGGATACTTAGCAACATCTCTGGCTTCTACCCACCAGATGCCAGTAGCAAACACACACTACCACCCTCTGTGACAATCAGAAGTGTCTCCAGACGGTGCCAAATGTTCCCTGGGAGCAAAATTGCCCTGTTGGGGACCACCAGTCTAGCGTAGTGCTTCTCATGTGCATGTGAATCCCCTGAGACTGTTTAGAAAGAAGATTCTGATGCAGTAAGTCTGGGGTATAGCCTGAGATTCTGCATTTGTTATGTGCCCAGGAGATGCTATGCTGCTGGACTGCATGGCTCTAGTCCACATGAAGAGTGAGTGACACCTCTGTTTCCCTCAACTGAACAGGTTTTACCCAAAGACCTGCTCTGGAACTGTTTGGCATGTCTCCTGGGGCCGTTTGAGGCTTGGATCACCTGTGTGTACCTACCCTCTTGTAGTATGCAGGCTTCTAAGATAGCTCCAGATTCTGGGCCCTCACTGGGCACACAGCTTCTCTACCTTCTTCCATTTATTCAGTCAAATACTGATCAGTGGGTCTCCTGAGTTGGGTGCCATGGCTCCTGCTTGTAATCCCAGGGACTTAGGAGGCCAAGTTTGGAGGATCACCTGAGGCCAGGAGTTCAAGACCAGTCTTGACAATATATGAGACCCCCATCTCTACAAAAAATAAAAAAAATTAGCTGGGTATCATGGCTAGCGCCTGTAGTCCCAGCTATTCTGGAGGCTGAGGTGGGAGGATTGCTTGAACACAGGAATTTGAGGCTGCAGTGAGTTATGACAGAGCCATTGCACTCCAGCCTGGGTGACAGAGTGAGACCCTGACTCTAAAAAAAGAATAATAATAATTAAGGTCTCAAAATGGTTGACATTAATTTAAGAAAGGGAGATTATGTGGGTATGCTTGACTTAATGACATGAGCCCTTTGAATCTGGGTCCAGATATCAGGCAGAGAAGTCAAAGCAGGAGAAGGATTCGATGAGAGGAGATTCAGTGTGGTTGGTTTTGGAGATGGAGAGGGCCAAGCGACAAGGGATGTGGGCAGCTTCTAGGAGCTGACAAGCCCTGGGTTAGTAGCCAGCAGGGAAATAGGACCTTGGTTCTCCAGCCCTGGGAGCTTGTAGGAGGATCCTGAGTTCTAGATGAGAACACATCTGGCCATCTGCGTTGATTTTAGCCTTGGAGGCCCTGATCAGAGAACTCAGCCACATGTCTGGACTTCTGACCTACAGAACTGTCAACCAATGGAGTGGGTGGTGTTTTAAGCCACTAAGTTTTTGGTAATTTGTTACAGAGCAATAGAAAATTGGCACACTGTCTTTCCTAAACAAGTGTACACACTGTTGTTTTAAAATACATCTTTTTCTTATGCTTTTTATTTTCCCTTTGCATACCACCTCCCACCCATCCCCAGCTGGGGGGATGGGGCATTATTCCTTCTACCCTCATGACTTAGCTCAGGTTCTTGCTGAGAATAGGTGCTCAGGGAAGGTGTCTGCTGAATCAAGCCCCTTGCCTCATTTGATGCAGTTTCTGAGGTTCTGTTTTTCTCTGGGTACAACCTGCTCAGTTGGAGGAAAGAGCAGAACAGATTCGTTCGAAGTCCCACCTCATCCAAGTGGAGCGGGAGAAGATGCAGATGGAGTTGAGTCACAAGAGAGCTCGAGTGGAGCTGGAGAGAGCAGCCAGCACCAGTGCCAGGAACTATGAGGTGGGTTCACATGGGACAAGGGTCTGTCCAGCCAGCCCTGGGAGGCCAGGGGCTGTGCTTGGTACGTGCCAGGCTGTGAGAAATCAGAACCAGGCAGCTGGAAGTCCAAAGTGCCCTGCATCAGGGTTGCTGGGTGTTCCTTCTGAGGCCATGTGACAGTGCAGGGCAGGTATAGCTGTGTGTGATGTTCTGAGTAGGTTGCATGAAATGGTGACAGTCGCAAAGGGTGGCCCCTTGCCAGGTCTGCTGCTCAGGCTGTAGAGCTGGAGACATCCCTCTGCTGGGCCTCCCGGTTCCTCCTCCCTCTGGGAGAGCTGGAATGCAGATCTGGCAGAAGTACTTGCTGGCATGGAGGTGACAGGCTTACAAGGTCACTGGGTACAGGGGTCTTGGGTTCGACATTGGACCTTGCTGGGTTGGGCGAAGGGCCTCAGAACAAAGAGCCCCTACCTCAGTGGCTGCTTCATTTTGCCCCTGGACTACTCAGGGCAGCTGGGAAAGCATAGCCCCGGTTACTCAGGGCAGGTATTTGGTTTTCGCTTAGTGTGTGAATCCTCTGTTTCCTTTGCTTTGATTAACAGCACTTTGCCAGGTTTTTCAATAAGTGCTGATCATTTGTGGAAATGCTGCCAAGATTTAAGCAGAGCATCGGACAGAAAGTCTCTGGCTTTTTACCCTTTCCCTGCGGATGGATGTCTGGCCCCCTTCTTGCCTTATGTGGTACATTCACACACTTTCCTAGTCCCTAAAAAATAGCTGATGTCTTCCAGGGCTTGGGGCTAATTGGATTTTTTTGAATCTGGTGTGCAGATTCCTGGCTGTGGTGTGCTGTGTGGGCTCAGGAAGCCAAGAGCCACTGCTGGGGCTGAGATGCCGCTGCCTTAGGATTGGCCTATTGCTACCCAGAGTGATGTTTTCTCTGTGAAGTGGGGCTTTTGCTCATGGCCTGGGTTGGTCCTAGGAGGGGAGTCTTGGAGGAATTGGTGGGAAGGGGAGCAGAAGGCCACAGGAATCTTCCCAGCTGTTGAAGTGCCCTTTCATGGGACTGGGGAGGTGGCCATCAGCTTGCAGGAAGTGCCATACTGGTGGTGTGGCCCTGGCTCTTAGGCAGGAGGAAGGGGGTGTGGTGCTATTGGAGTTTCTCTGGGCCACAAGTCCCTCAAGGGCAGGACCTGCCTGACTGCCCTGGATCTCCAGTGTCCAGCACAGGTTGCGGCACCTCGTGGGTCCTCAGAAAACATTTGAATGGGAGAAGGATTGCTGCAGGGTCTCTGAAGGTTCTTTTCTGGGGAAATCTGAGGATGGGGGGGTGACTGAGCTTGGACCTGGGCCCCCTGCTGGGTTCGAGCCACCATCCGAGAGGACTTTCCTTCCTTGCCCAGACACAGCTGAGTGGGACCCCAGGAACCATCGGAGCCAGCAGTTTTCCAGGTGTTCCTCGGCATCCCACCTGGAAATATTTAATAGCTCTCAGGTGGCGAGGCCCAGGTATCTGAGGCCTGAGTTGCTGCCTGAACTGCCCCATCTGCACTTGGGACCGGCAGCTCCAGCAGCTGTGCCACATTCTGGCTCTGATGTGCTGACCAGGCCCTGCACTAACAAATGCACCACAGCAGGGTCCCCTGGCTGTTGGGAGGCTGTCTTTGCAGCTTGCTATGCCCTGGAGCCCACTGTGGATCAGCCTTCCCTCAAGCGGGCGACAACCCCGTCTGTAGCTTTTGTTAAACCTTTCCTTGGTTTTGGGCAGGACCATCCTGTGCAGGGGTGTTATAAGCACTTACTCCGAGTAAGGCAAGCTCTGGACGTACTTGGTGGTTCCTGGAGGGAGCTTGTGCACGTAGCTTCTTGAACACAGGTGCCACGGAGCCAGGACTTAACCACCTGTGCCTCCTGGGACTCCAGTCCCTACTTTGTGGTCCCTTCCCAGTGCCAGGGAACTCTTAAATCTCCATGGGTCCTTAGAGTCAAGAGGTCTGTGTGTGGTTCTTGGTTCTGTCCCTTTCTTATGAGCACAAGCCACATAGCCTCCCTGAGGTTAATACTGCGGGTGGCTTTGGAGGTTTGCGTGAGATGATTGCACTCCTGGCACGTTTTTGCCCAGTGTGAATTGCTTTTGTCTGCAGCCTCTTGTCCACGCCATCTGTCTCTCCTTGGTCATCTGCTTGTTGGGGGAATGCCGACTCATTTTAATGACGACCAGAGTGCAGTTAGCCAAAATTTGCTGGTGCTGCAAAAGCTCAGCTTCTTTCCAAGGTCAGTTCTGAATTTCAGATTTTCCATGCTCTGTCTCCTCCCTGCAGAGATGATCAGTGAGCAGACGGTGTGATGAGTATGTGGTGTGATCCATGCCAAGTGCCCTCCCAGGGGTCCTGGGTTCTCATAAGGGGAGATATGCTACCACAGCTGGAGTGGGACATCAGAATTGGAGTCCTGGGTCCTGGCCCTTGTTCTGCTGCCAACATGGCTAATGGGTCCTGCCTGACTCTTCTCTGGGCCTTGGTGGCCTGTCCCAAGAGTAGTTGTTGGGCTTGGGGTCTCCCTGTTCTGACTCTGTCTGGTGGCATCTGGCATCTCACTCTTGCCCTCTCGACAGCGCGAGGTTGACCGCAACCAGGAGCTCCTGACACGCATCCGGCAGCTTCAGGAGCGGGAGGCCAGGGCAGAGGAGAAGATGAAGGAGCAGCTGGAACGCAACAAGTTGTGTCAGCAGAGCCTGGAGGCCACCAGCAAGAAGCTGCGGGAGAAGGAGGACAGCCTGGTCGAGGCCGGCGAGGTGAGCGCAGGCCCTGTAGGGGCTGGGGTAGCCTTCCGTCCTGCAGCCCTTTGTCCAGGGAGGAACAATGAATGAGCTCCAATGAATGAGCTTTCAATTGTACTTTCCACGTGGGCACCTACCTGCGTTTTTGGCATAGTTGTGATCATAGTAAAAATACTAATTTTCCATTCTGTGATTTGCAGTTAATAAGTTGAACATTTATTACAATTATGAATTGTAATGGTTGGCTAACCCTTTTTCTGCCATTTTCAAATGTTTTGTTTTTTTGTATACCCCTTCTCCCCCCCAGATACTTGTGACAGGTAGCTTCATACATACAGCCTTTTGCTTCTGTGACTTATTTCGTGTGAACAGACCCTCAGGAGTGGGATTGTGAGGTTCCCCATTCCAGCTGTCTCTGTGGTTGTTGCAACCAGTTGCTGTATTGTAATAACAGCCATTGTTGAGTATTCTAGTTTCACGACAGCCTTCCCTGTCATGGATGGTGGTATTTTCTGGAAATACGTTTTTTTTTGTCAGAAGCTTTTACACATTGACTGCCACACTAGAAAAAAATTTTTTTCCTTGAGGCTACGGTGTTTTATTATGAAAATAGCATAAAAATTTTGAAAACAAAACAATCCTTTCTAATTTAATGAAAAATTTTTTATTGTTTTCTGTGTGTGAGTTATATGCAATTTGAAAAATAGTTCACATGGCTCCCAAGGTGAAGACATGTGAGTTACATATGCTTCACGAGGCCCCGGGCTTAACGCTAGCCTGAGTTGAATACAACTCACGCGACAGTTAATGTGTTCAGTAGATGCCTCTGGATTTGCATTTCTTTGATTATCAGCAAGGTCTGTTACCATCTACTGGCATCTGAGGATGTCTTTGAACCAGAGCTTATATGAACTGTAGCCCAAGTGAAGTATGTGTACCTTTTGGGAACAGAGTCCTGACATCAGTGCTGGTAGAAATGGGAGTCTCTGTTCCTGTCCCTTTCTTGTCCCTTTCCTGTGGTGCTCAAGGCCACAGGTGCCAAGAGGAAGCAGATGAAGAGCTGCTAGGGAAGGGGGCATGTGGCCTCATTGGCATTCTGCCTCTGCGTGGCGTTCTCTCCTTGATAGATCCCTGGAAGCAGGCTGCAGGTTGTTTCTGCCGTGGCAGCGCTGGGAGCATGTTAAGGTTATTCCCACATCTGTCTTCTGAAGGGAGCGTTGGCAGGAAAGGAGGCGTGACCCGCTTCCTGAGCAGCCAGTCTTGCCTTGCCTAAGCTCTGGTCCCAGGCCCCGTGTTCTGGGCTGCACCTTCTGAAGGGGCCCCCAGTTCCATGGGGGAGGGTGAGTCATGCATGGCATTTCATGGGGAGCAGAAGGAGGCGAGACCCTCACCGAAGGTGCAGAAGAGCAGGTGCAGTGGGTCCTGCGTGGGGAAGAGAGTGGCTGGCACTGCACGTGTTGTTGCTTTTCCTCTTTGTAGCTGTGCTTAACTGGCACCTCCTCAGAGAAGCCTCCAGGGCCACGGTCACTCAGCCTGGAGTCTCCTGTCACAGTAAGAAGCTGATGTGCTACACTCTCCTCTCTGAGGTTACCTCGTCAGTGGTCTCGTTTCCCCACTGTGTGCCATCCCCGAGGGCGGGCTGTCTTGTCCACGGTGTCAGGCACAGCGCCTGGTGCCCAGTGTGTATAGAATTCAGTGAGACCTCTGCAAGGACATCTCACTATTAGGTATGGTAGTACCTTTCTCTGCAGGGACATCTCACTGTTAGGTATGCTAGTACCTTTCTCTGCAAGGACATCTCACTGTTAGGTATGTCTCTGCAAGGACATCTCACTGTTAGGTATGGTAGTACCTTTCTCTGCAGGGACATCTCACTGTTAGGTATGCTAGTACCTTTCTCTGCAAGGACATCTCACTGTTAGGTATGCTAGTACCTTTCTCTGCAAGGACATCTCTCTGTTAGGTATGCTAGTACCTTTCTTGTCAAGTCCCAGATTGCTCCCCACTGTGTGGTAAGGACACCACACAGACCGAGGGCCAAGCCTGGATAGTGGTGACATGTGTCGGTGGGACCTGGGTCGAGTGCTGTAACCTGCTTCTTTGAAGAGGGTGCTACCTGGCCCCAGATGGGCTGCCCAGTGTCAGTGTGTTTGCCGGGTTCATTATCTTGCCCTCAGCGTGTGGTCCTCTGGAGTTGACACGAGGCTTATATTTTTCCATGTGTTAATTGACGGCCACACTTTGGAGTGGGCTGACGTTTTGTGTTGGTTCTTTCCCTGGGAGAGCTGGGACTTTCCGAGCTTTGGGTCTTTAGCAGGTTGCCTGGTGAGATGTGGTCGGGCTGGCGGTTCCATGTTCCATCGCAGTGGCATCAGGTGGACCCGAGGTTCTGGAGGCTGTTGGATGGGCCCTGCTGGCTTTGCCTGGGGGCCACCCCCGGGTGCTCTCCTTTCCTTTCTGGGAACCGCTTTCTGAGTACATGGCCTCCCCAGTGAGCTGCAGCCCAGCCCACTGGCCTGGGGGCTCCGTCTCCAAGGCCCGTCAGCACTTGTTTGGTGTGGCTTTTGTAACTTAGTGGCCATAGGCTCCATTTCCTACTTGGCAAGTGCATTGCTGTTTCCCGTAGCAACATCGTAGCCAACAGCTGGAATGGTGGCATGAGAGCAGCCAGGGATGATGAGAGCCACGGTTTGGAGGGAAGACCGAGGCACTGGCGTGAGGGATGGGTGGACACCTGGCTGGGGCAACTTTATGAGCTTGGGGCACCAGCCTGGAGGCTGCTGGGTGCCAAGGCCCGACTTTTCAGGCCCATCTTGGCTGGTGGCAGCTTTTGCTCCTAAAGCCCTCTGCCTGGACCATCTCCTCCAGAGGCCTGGCTGTGGCCCAGAACTCTGTCAGTTCATGGGCAGCACAAGGTGTCTCTGGGATGGCTTGCTCTTGAGTGCTGGGTTGAGGGCGGGTCCCAGGCATTAGTGCCTGTCCCTTCTGCCAGGGATGGGGGGAGCAGCCATGGCCCCAGCCCTGGTTTGGGCATGTGGGATGCCACAGACTCCTCCCTCCCTGAGTGGCTCTTTGTCCCCTCTCTGATCTCAGACTGTCAGCGTGTTAAAGGGGAGAATCTCGGAGCTGCAGTGGAGCGTGATGGACCAGGAGATGCAGGTGAAGCGCCTGGAGTCTGAGAAGCAGGAGTTGCAGGAGCAGCTAGACCTGCAGCACCGGTGAGCTGGGGTGGAGGCCAGGTGTGGGGTGTGGGGCCCCACCTTTGCCAGGTGAGCCTACTGGCCGGGTGGGATCTAGATGCACCCTTGGATGCTGTCTTCATCCATAGACTATCAGGAGGGACAGAGACACTGAGGCCTCTGAAGCCAGGACCCTGAGGTCACAATAGCGGGGTGTCTTAACATCCCTGCACCGCACAGGGGCAGCATCTTCTTTCCTCCCCAGTGGCAGGCAAGCCTTCTTGGATAGGGCTTCTGGAGAAGGTGTTGAGCTAGGACGGGGCCTGGAGGCGGGCGGCATGTGGCTGGGAAGGGCCGATCCAGGCATGGGGAATATGCTCAGCAGAGGCTTGGGTGTGAGAGCCTTGATGGAAGTTGTGGTCAGGAGACTTTTGGGTACTCTCCTGGAGAATTTGACCCTTCCCTTCTTGGGAGAGTTCTAGCTCCTTGGTGGAGAGGCCATCCCTGAGAGGGCCCCCTACTGCGGCTGCACCAGGGCTAGGTGTTGCTGTGGGTGTGAGCTGCTATGGGGCAGCGGGAGAGCTGTGGGGCTGCACAGTTAGAGAGGACCTTGAGGTGGTCTGGGCTCACCCCACCTTATACAGTTGGGGTGATTGAGGCCTCTGGGCCAGCCAACAGGGCCAGTGTCCTGGATCTTGGCGATGTCCTGTAGTGGGTGTGTGGTGTGTGCGCGGGTTTATGATAGGGAGCCCTGAAGCTGAGGAGAAATGCTGGCCTTACCACATTCCTGTTTCTGCACACGGTGTATTCTTTTAATAGAAAGTGTCAGGAAGCCCATCAGAAAATTCAGGACCTCCAGGCCAGTCAGGAGGTGAGAGCAGACCATGAGCAGCAGATTAAGGTGAGTTGCTCCGTTTCAGTCCCAGGCATGTTACTGCAGTGGTGTTTCGGCCCTCTGGCCACCTGCAGGCCTTTCTGAGCTGGGGGTGTGCTTGGTGGCATTTGCAGATAGTGAGTGGCCTGGACATTACCTGTGTGCCAGGCACTGTGCTGGGTACCGGGGACACCACAGTGCATGGGGCAGACATTTCTGCCCCCAGGGAGCTCCAGTTCTACTGGAGGAGGAACAACTATAAACCTGTAAAGAAAAAATATAAATGTGTGATAACTTCAAGTACCAATGAGTGCTGGGGAGAAGATACAACATAAAACAGCAATAGAGAGGCTGCACATCTGCCCAGAGTCACCCAGCCAGTGCGCAACTGATCTGGGTCCCAGGGACAGATCCGTCTGACTCAGGCCCTGCTGCTTCTCTGCAGAGGACACTGCCAGAGAGATGGTGACTCTACATTGCCGTTAGAGCAACACCTGGACCCTGAGCTGAGGCCATGTGGCCTGGCCTCTCACTGTCCTCTCTGCTCTCCTGGCCAGGCCCTGGGGCCCCCATGTGCCCTCGCCCCAGGGCTTGGTGCTGGTTTTCCTCCTTAGTCCCCAGCCAGCCCCCAGCACTCTTTCTCCTGCTGACGTCCCCCTGGGCTTCATCCTTCCCTCGAAGCCTTGGGCCTGCCCTGAGGATCTGACTGCCTGGACTGCCTGGTGTCTGCACCACTGTGTCCCCGCTGCTTGACTCGATACACGGCACAGAGATGGGCTCTGTTAGTGTTTGTCGACTGACTGATTTAGTCCTGGTTCTTCCTCTCAGCCTGTTCGGTGGCTTGTCACGGTGGCTTGTCACTAACGGATGCCAACTGTCTCCCATTGTGTCCCAAGGGGCCCAGATACTACAAGGAAAAGTCTGTGTTCCCTGTTGGAAAGACTCAGTCATGACACGTGTCACTGGAGTGACAGAAGCAGATATTACATGGGGGGAGTGCGATGTTTTGCTGCTGAGTGTCTTTGGGCCAGACTTGAAGTAGGTTTCTGCCCCCAGAAACGTCCCTGAGGGCAGGATGTCGGCATGAAGGCCTCAGGCAGAACGTGGTGGTTGGGGAAGCGCTGCCCGCAGAGTGGGTACTGAGGACGCTGCATCAGGGCACACCTGGCACAGCCAGGCACGGCTTCCCAGAGAGGTACCTGAACCATGGAAGCCTCTGAGGACCTGGACAGTTTACCACAGGAACACTGTGGCTTCTGTGACTTTATTTTTTTAATAGACTGTTTTCTTCTTAGAGCAGTTTTGGTTTACAGCAAAATTGAGCAGAAGGCAGAGTTCCCGTGTACCCCCTGCCTACACAGCACAGCCTCCCCCACCACCAGTGTCCCACCAGAGCGTTGCATTTGGTACAGCGATGGACCTGCACTGACACAGCGTGTCACCCAGAGTCCCTACTTCACTCAGGGCTCACTCTTGGTGCTCTGTGTGCTATGGGTTTGGACAAATGTCTAACGATTGTGCCCCTTAGAGTATCATCCACCAGCCTGGGAATCCTCTGGCTCCACCTGTCCATGCCTGCTCTCCCCCCCAACCTCTGACCACCACTGGTCCTTTTACTGTCTCCATAGCTTGCTTTTTCCAGAATATTCTGTGGTTGGAATCCTACAGTATGTGACCTCAGACTGGCTGCTTCCACTCGGTGATACGCACTTAGCTTCCTCCATGTCTTTTCATGGCTGCTCTTTCTTCTTCCTCCCTGTTCCTGGCCTCCATCAGGATCTGGAACAGAAGCTGTCCCTGCAAGAGCAGGACGCTGCGATTGTGAAGAACATGAAGTCCGAGCTGGTGCGGCTCCCCAAGGTGGAGCGGGAGCTCAAGCAGCTGCGGGAGGAGAACGCTCGCCTGCGGTGAGATGGGCAGGGGTGGGTGGCCTCACAGAGTGAGTGTGGGCTCGTGGGCCTGCAGCCCACCACACGGCCGCCGTGGGTCCTGGGGTTCCTCCGCAGGGTGTATGGCTGCCTAAGTGCTTATTTCTGGCCCTACCAGGGAGATGAGAGAGACCCATGGGCTTCTCCAGGAGGAGCTGGAGGGGCTGCAAAGGAGGCTGGGGCGCCAGGAGAAGATGCAGGAGACGCTGGTCAACCTGGAGCTGGAGAAGGAGGTGAGGCCCCAGAGGGGTGCGTGGTTCCCTGTGGCTGCGCTCTGCCCTATCTGTGGCTCCTGGGTATTTGTTACACAGGACAGCTGGTCACCTACAATGTCGATGCTGCTGTGATAGTGTGGTGGGCAGAAGAGTGTCCCAAAGAGGTGGTTCATGTCCTAATCCCCAGGGCCTTACACAGCAAGGGGCAGTCGGGGTAGCTGATCTGCTGACCCCTGATAGGGAGAAGATCCCGGGTCATGAGGTGAGCTGTGTTGTCGTGTGTAGGGGGAAGGTCAGAGTGACAGGGTAAGGTTAGAGTGACAGGGGAAGGACTTGACCAGCTGCTGCTGAGTTTGGATAGGCAGGAGGGGCCACAAGCCCAGGAATGTGGTGGCCTCGGGGAGCTGGAAAGAGTAAGGAAACAGGTTCTCCCCTGGGCGCTCTGAAGGAGCCAGCCTGCCGACACCACGATTTTAGCCCAAGGAGACGCACTTTCCATTTCTGAACTAAGTACTGTGAGATACTCAATTTATGTTGTTTGAAGCCACTGAGTTCATGGTGACTTGTTTCAGTAGCAGTAGGAAACCTAGTACAGATTGGTGAGTCAGCGAGGAAGTAGCATACGCACTACTCACTCTGAGGGATCAAAGTGAGCAGAGACCTGTGCTGGGTTCCCTGTGTCTGCCATCAGGACTCACAGGTGGCCCTCTGTGGGAAGGTGGCAGCGCTGGAAGGCTTCTGAAGTCATCTTGTGGGCAGAGGAGGAAACGGGTTCAGAGAAGCTCCCTCTCCTGCCCACTGCACTGCAAGTTGGACCAGGATGTTGGTCTCTTGGCTCGTGTCTGGATCTCCTGTCCTTCACACTGCTTCCCTGTGGCCGCAGCACCCTTCCCTGGTTCACCTGGCGTGCCTGTGTCCCAGGCCCCAGCTGTTCGTGTTCTCGTAGGAGTGTGAAGCATCCACCACCAACTTCAGTGCTGGGTAGCCGCCCACCTGTTGGGGCCGGCCACTCCCTGAGGGCCTCCTGCCTCGGATGGCATGGAGTCTGTCCCTTTCAGCTGCAGCACATCCAGGCTCTTGGTGGGGCCTCAGAGTTCCCTGTGGCCAGCGAGGGCAGCCAGCAGGGGCTCCCCTCCCAGATGCTGGCTTCTTTAGGAACTTAGCCTGAAAATACAGTTCCCAAGCTAAATACTTTTTTCTCTGGATGTAGTTTTTTAAAAATTATTTAAGATTTGGGGTTCTAGAATCACTCTCTAGCTGAAGTGTTGGTGTGGACACTGCTGGCCGTGTGGCCCTGAGCCAGCCCCTTAACCTCTCAGGAGTAGTCAGTGTCTGCCCTTGGGGTTGTGGGGAGTAAGTGAATTTATGTCAAGTGCTCAGAACAGTAAACGTCAATAGTATCAACTATTGTAAAACTGTTAACCAGACACATGCCTGGCACGTGAGCGGGGCTCTGGGAATATTTGATGGACTGAGTGAAAGCATTGGTAACAGCACTGTGCTTGGCACCAGGTAGAGGTGAAGGGAGTCCAGGACAGAGGTACATAGCTCCTGCCCTGAAGTTGCTTTAGTTCTGGAAGGGCAGTGGGACTCACCTTTTTGGGAGACGGGTCCGTATGGAACAGGCGTGTAAACAGAAGGGCCAGTGAGCCTGTGGGCTGAGTTCCTACCTCCCCTCCCCTCCAGGGCTGGCCACCGAGCGGCTGGGGAACATCCAGCTCAGAGCTGTCTGCCCTCGGGCTTGCTGTCCTGAGGAGCCCCTGGAAGACAGGGGAGAGGGGAGTTGCTCCCTGGGGTAGATGGCTGCAGGGTCATCCGTGAGGCTGTTTGCGTTTTTCTCGCCCTCACGTTCCTTTTGGCATGCCGGGGCATGCTGGGATTCACACTTGAACTCATGGGACCAGGAGGGAATGGGCGTGAAGCACGCAGCCTGGCTCTAGCCATTGGAAATAACCTAACTGCTCCAGCCCAGACTTGGAGCATTTATGCTTCTGAGCTCAGCGAGGAGGGAAGACTCTTTCTTCTAAAAGGTCGCGGGGGGGGCTTTGTGTCATTACTGTTACTGTCAGATTTATGTGATGAATGTTTGGCAGTGGTGACGAGGATGTGGCTTTCTCTGTCTTTTCAGAGGCTGCTGGCGAAGCTGCAGAGCTGGGAGCGGCTGGACCAGACAACGGGCTTGAACCTCAGGTGGGTGGAGGGGCTGGTGCCTCCCGTTGTCCCTTCTTGGAGGAGTCTTCGCTGGTTTTGCCTATGGCAGAGCAGTCCCTGCCTCCTCACTCAGTGAGGTCTCTCTAGTGGGGCTCCTCTGCAGGCTCCTGAGGGAGCTTTTGTCCCACGCTGCTCAGGTTTAATGAGGTGCTTTCACAGCGGGAGGGACATGGAACAAGCACTCTCCCTGCTGAAGTCTTAATAACATCTTCATTGAAAATCAGAATATCCACAGCAAAGTGGTGGCAGGTATCTGATTGCCCTGCATTGTTGGGCTTTGTTAAAGGACTCTTTTTGTATATGCTGAGGGAGTAATTGCTTTTTCGGAAATCATTTCTTTTAGGTGCTGGTAACCAGCGGAGACGAACTGAGATTTTAGGGTTAAAGACGACCGCCACAGTGGGGAATTGTTGTCCCAGTCAGTGCCTGTAGCAGCTGATTGCCAGCGACGGGGCTGGGTGTGGGGGGGGCATTGTGTTTTGCCCGGCATCCTGCCTGTCCTTTGGGGTGGTGCTCATGCCTGACAGTTGCTCTCTTGGTCCCTGCCCTTCAGCCCCACCCGGGGATGGACTGCCCAGTGGCGCTCTCTCCTTGGCTGCCTGTGTGCTGGTCTCAGGGAGGGTTCAGGATTGATTTTTTGATTGAAGTAATTTTTTGATAGAAGTCATTGGAGCCTGGGGGCACAGGGCCTGTGTAAACAGCCTTTTGTTTTATTTGCTTGTGGG